GCTTGCTATTAAGGCCAAATTAGTTGGCGCATTAGGCACCGGCAGCTTGAATAATGGTATCGATTACTTATCGCAGGACTTCTTAGCGCCATGCTGCATGGAGATAATGCATTGGGTCACGTCCAAGTTAGGTCCCATGCAAGCTAGCAACGACGTAATAGCCGACGCGCTTTTGCGAATCATAGAAAGCAATATCGGGCCTACAACTACAGACAGCGAGCACAATTTCACATTTCGCATGGTGTTACATGTGGTGGGTCCCGGTATTATCCGCAAGATTCGAACGATTAAAGAATGGCTGACCAACGAGAAGTTGACGCAGCTCATATCTGTTATTCGTAAAGAGACGGATCCTGAATACTGCATGTGTGATGGGGCTGTCCCCGAAGTTACCGGTGGGCCAACCTTAGCGGAAAGTGTCAGAAAAACACTCTTGCACTACACTTTGGATACGAGTACAGACAGTGCGCCCAAATGCTGGTCTGCGATTCGCTACTTGTGGGCCGCCGTTCCTAAAACAGAACTTGTTCAACTACTTTTGCAGGAGTTGGACCGGGGTTCCAAGTCATTCTCGAACCCCGTCACCACTGAGGAAGCCCGCATAACGGCTGATTTTCTAGTCTTTATGGTGATTGATTCGAGCCGTGTCGTTGCACGTGATACGATAGCGGACATTTCCCAATTCAATGACAGTTCCCCGCTATCGGAGGATAACATACAGTACCAATTCAAGCTTGCCCTAGACAGCCATTACGCCAGTGTTTTCAACGAGGCAAATACTGAGCCACCCAAAGAAAACAAGCCCGTGCCGAAAGAAGAGGAGATTCCTGATGTTGATATGGACGATTTGTTCAATGATGTGGGTGAAGATCTTTTTGGAGACTTCATGCAGGTGACCCTGTCACATATTGACAAACCAACTGTATACAGGACTGCCGCTATCGTTAGTGACTGCTATACTCGTGTATGGCGCTTTATGTCGTTGAATGTTTGTATGCTTCAACTTCAATCAGATAGCACGAGTCCACCTGGGCTCATTAACATGGCAAGACTCTTGATATCGCACGAATTGGAGCACTGGCTCTTTGTTCTCAAATCGTAATGTGTGCAAAGTGTCAAAACCGGTACTCTTATCGGTGCAGTACGCGCAGACATCTATACGGCGTTTCGATGGCACACTTATCAGAGAGGCACGACATTACATAAAAAGAGTGTGTGTGCCCGCTTTACTCTTCCAGTACAATAGCAGTTTCCAGAAACATGATTCCACTCAAATCCTCTAGATCTGCTCTCTCGAGTGTGCGTTCCAATACAACCGATCGGGTTTTACACCATTTGGACACCGTTCTCTCGCATAGAGAAGAAGTCCGCTCTATCAATGCCAATGATGCTGCCAATGACACAGACCTTCTACACCAGATTGGATATAAACAGGAAATGAGAAGACAATATTCCACGTTGCAGGTTTTCGGTATTGCGTTTTCCATTATGGGCTTGTTGCCATCTATCACCACGACCGCCGCAACTGGATTGGAAGGTGGTCCGGTTTCATTTGTTTGGGGCTGGTTCGCTGGCGGATTTTTCATTCTTTGTGTTGGTATTTCCTTGAGTTTCTTGGGTTCTTCGATCCCCACGTCTGGTGGATTGTTTTACTACGCCAACTATTACAGTGGAGAGAGAGTAAGAGTGCCCTTGAGTTTTCTCATTGGGTGTTCCAACTCCTTGGCCTTGTGCAGTGGCTTGTGCTCCATTAATTACGGTTTTGTGAGCGAAATGTTTGCTGCCATATATCTTGGAACAGGCTTTACATCCACAAAGTACGAAGAATACGGTGTATTCGTCGCTTGTATCATCAGTCAGTTATTTTTATGTTCGGCAACAACCCGTATGACTGCCCAGGTGCAATCCTTGTCCATTTACATCAATGTCTTCATTATCGTCTTATTCTTCATTGCTGTCCCCATCGGCACAAAGAACAACTTGGGTGGTTTCAATGATGCTCACTTCATTTTCGGCAAGTTCGAAAACTTAAGAACTTGGAGTAACGGTTGGTCTTTCATGCTTTCTTGGATGCCAGTCATTTGGACCATTGGTGCCTTTGACTCCTGTATTCACATGTCTGAAGAATGTAAGGACCCAACCAGAAAAGTACCCATCGGAATTGTTTCTTCTATTTCCGTGTGTTGGATTATCGGGTGGTGTATTTGCATTGTCTTGTGCGCCTGTATCAAGGATGGTGATGTTTCCAGAGTTATTGACTCGGATACGGGAATGGTGGTTGCACAAGTCATCTACGACTCCTTGGGAAAAAAATGGGCCATAGCATTTATGTCATTGATTTGTGTGGCTCAGTACATGATGGGTGTTTCGATCCTTATTGCTTTGTCAAGACAAGTTTTCTCCTTCGCCAGAGACGAAGGTTTGCCTTTCGTGTACAACTACGTTAAGGTTATCAACCCAAAGATAAAAGTGCCAATTCGTGCCACGGTTTTCTCTGGTATTTTATCTTGTGTTTTGGCTTTGTTGATTTTGATTAACTCCACTGCAGCTAATGCTCTTTTCTCTTTGACCGTTGCAGGAAACTTAGTTGCATGGGGTATTCCAATCTTCCTTGTAACATTGCCCACAGAATCTGCCAAGAGATTCATCCCTGGTCCATTTTACTCGAAAAAATTCTTTTATCCAGTGAACATCATTTCATGTTTGTGGGTGGTCTATGCTATAACCATGTCGATGTTCCCAGACAACAAAACAGTCACTGCACAAACAATGAACTACACATGCGTCATCAATGGCGGAGTGTGGATCTTATCGCTTGCCTACTTTTTCATCTATGGCTATAGGCACTACCATGGACCTAAATCCAATCTTGGCGACGGTGCTGAGATGGGAAAGGAAGAAGACATGGACGAAGAATATTCATCTCAGGAAGAGAGACTTCATGTTAAGGTTTGATATGATTGTCAACATCAAATGTATTACGGAATATATGTTATGAGTTACACGACGGCCAATTGTAGACGGGCTCGACAGGCAGTAATTATAGACATGTGTCCTATTCGGATGCAAGTACTTTACACATTCCTGTTGGCCACTTTCGGTGATTGGTTCATATCCATCAAGGGCGTGCATATAATTATTCATATACAGCTGCACATTTTAATTAGGCATGAACAAGAGAAGTCTCATATTAAAGTGGATTTGTATTTCCCTTATCCAAATAATCCCGCTTTCTTCTGGGCATTTTTAGTACATGGTTTAGAATGGACTACATGTAGTAATAAACGTCAACGGTGACATCTGATTCGCAGAGTGCGACATTTAATCACAATCAGGCGTCCGTTTACTAACCCTCAGGCGTTTCCTAAACGGGAGAACGTGGCATGATAAGCTTTACCGAAAGAGTTCCTTCTTGCTAACATTCTCCATTTTCCTCTCTCTGCGCACTTTTTGTTTTCTACCCAAGCGATAGTTGATGGGGCTATTAATCAAAGTATGGTGTGGCAATTGAGCGGTTTATGAAGCTGCAGGAACATTCAATTTAACGGAAGGATGCTTATCTTGTCCCGACAGGCCAAAATAGCTCCTTTTTTTTTGTATTTTTTTCTCCGTTTTGCTTCATGTTGGCAAGCTCATCAATAGATGATTAAAGGATATTGAGCCTGTCGAAGCAAAAAGCAAATTTCTGTTTTTTTGGTGGGGCCACACGTAGTCTCACCTGCAAAATCATGCACATTTATCAAGATAAGCTCAAGTAGGCTAAATCCGTAAGGTGGGTGCGAAAAGATAAGAGAGAATATGCCAACTGTTCTTAGCCGCCGCGCGCCTCAACTGTGTCGCTTCCTTAGCTTCCCTGAAAAACAAACGGGTGCAATTAAAGGCCGAAAGCATTTAAATACTTCTCCTTCCCCACTAATTTCCAACTCTACCATCATGGGTGCAAACAAAATTCACAACATCACACTGGTGCGTTCCAATATCACACTGGTGCGTTCCAATGCCACATCCAAAGTGATTCACCACTTGGATACGATTCTCTCGCAAAGAGAAGAAGTGAGGTCAGTGAATCCTAATGAAGCCGCCGACGATACAGATCTTTTGCACCAGATTGGATACAAGCAAGAAATGAGAAGAGAGTATACAACGTTGCAGGTATTTGGAATTGCCTTCTCCATCATGGGTTTATTACCATCTATCACCACGACTGCCGCAACTGGTTTGGAAGGCGGTCCTGTTTCCTTTGTTTGGGGTTGGTTTGTCGGTGGATTTTTCACTCTTTGTTTGGGAATCTCAATGAGTTTCTTGGGCTCTTCGATCCCCACTTCAGGAGGTTTGTTCTTCTACGCCAACATGTTTGCCCCAGATTCCATCAGAGTGCCTTTAAGTTTCCTCATCGGTTGCTCAAACTCTTTAGCGTTATGTGGTGGATTGTGCTCTATTGATTACAGTTTTGTTTCCGAGATGTTTGCAGCCGTG